CCTATCCCTCGTGTGCCTTGGCGAGTCTCGGGTGTGTGTGTGTGTGTGTCTGTGTGTGTGTGTGTGTGTGTGTGTGTGTGTGTGTGTGTGTGTGTGTGTGTGTGTGTTACTACTGAAAATATTACTACGGAATACAAACAGTTCATGGGGGTCGTTTGGCGTAGCGACAGAGTGCTCGGCTCGGAACCAAGAGGTCCCGGGTTCGAGTCCTGACATGCCACCAATCTTGTGTCCTTGGGAAAGGCACTTTACACGACTTTACTCACTTCCCTCAGGGGAAAATGAGTATGGTATTGTCCCGTGTTGGTGGCGCCATTAATATACGTTGAAAAAACTTGCAATTGAGTGTGCCGTCACCACGTCTTGTGACTACATGTTGGAATATGAAAAAAGAAAAGTTCCTTGCTTACCAGACAGCTGGTCGATGGACCGCTTGAGAGAGGAGACGTCCTGTAGGAGAAAAGAAGTCTCCTGTTGAGCCGTGCTGAGTGGAGCAGCCCTGGCGGACACCAACATCGCCACTAACACAGCAAACGGGAACAACCGCAACATGCCGGCTCTTCTGTGGTCTAATGTGCAACAGTGAGGTTTCAGATGTTTGAAGGCATCCAATACAACCCAATTACGTATACTGCCCCACGTTAGCAAAATTGAATCAGTATTTCATACCTTGGGCATTTATAACTGCAGAAACAAGCCCCAAGAGCGCAAGGAACACAACAAACGGGAACAACCGTAACATGCCGGCTAGTCTGTGGTCTAATGTGCAACAATTTAATTCAATTCTTTGTTATCATACCAAAATTGCAGACATACGTATAGAATTATAATGTTGCCTGAATGCCCCATCATTACGTTGAAAAAACACATAACATTACAAATTGCATCACATACATACGTGAATATACACACTGATATGAACTGTACATTTGTGGGGTGGGGTGATAAAAAGCCTAAAAACACACCAAAAATAATCCAAAGCCCAAACCTCTTCTTGGAGAGTACCGTGTCCCAATATTACCAGCAATCACCTGTATGATGAGTTGGTTACACGATCCGGTAGTCGACCCGCTAGCTCACCGACCCGTTTTGTGTTGTGGACGGATTTCCAAGTAGATCCTTCGCTGGCAAAGTCGTAACCAACAACAGGGAAAGCAGTACTAGTATCCAGCAGGCAAGAAACTTTCCAATAGTCCAACGTTGATAGGGCCGGCTGTAGTTAGAAAACGCGGGTGCGAAGAATGTTGCAATCTTCCCAATCAACCTCTGCTTGGTCTGTTGGTGACACCGATTTACACGCCACTGGAAGGGGTTACAACCCTACGGACGGGATGTTAAGCTGGCGGCCCAGTGTTCGAGGAGTTTTAGAGCCGCACCAACAGCACTTAAGGAACCCTCTACTCTTGTCGGAAAGACTACGGATTCGCTGGAAACTTGAGCCGTTTCGCAGCCTGTCCGTTCTCAACTAAAAAAGTTAGCCCATTGTGAGCATGTGATTATTTTCGGATCCTTTGTTAAAACTAATCAAAACTGTAGAATGGTCTGAAATGAATTTCTGGCCTTGAAACGCCGCTGATTGAAGAGCAGGCAAGGGACTCAAATTAGATTCGTGCAGAAGGTTAGACGTGTCCTAAAAATCCGGTAGGGTCGTGCGGCGTAGCGACTCTGAACCAAGAGGTCCCGAGTTCGAGTCCTAAATTGTCACCGATCTTGTGCCCTTGGGAGAGGCGCTTGTTTTGTCGTACACAACTGTAATTTCAGTTAAACTGTTTAGTAATATATCGTGGGTTTGTGTGGCATAAAGCGGTAGTATGTTCGGCTCTGAACCAAGAGGTCCCGGGTTCGAGTCCTACCTTGTCACCGAAGTTGTGTCCTTGGGAAACGCACTTAACACGACTTTCCTCACTTCACTTAGGTGAAAATGAATACCTAGCTTTGGCCAGGGACGTCCCTCGGATAGGATGGAGGTCCCGTGTTTGGGGAGAGCCACACCACACGCACGTTTAAGAACCCACCGCACTAATCGAAAAGAGTGGGGGACCTTCCCGGTGTGAGTGGTTCAAACCTTACAGTCCGGTCTTACGCAGCTTGTACATGTACGTACATGTACAAAACTGGTGTGTTACGCCTAAAGGCGGTTTACCGGTTATGCGAAACAAACAAACAAGCAAAACAAGAGTTATGCGACACAAACTTGTTTTAATTTTTTTATTCAACACTTCCAAAATTCTTTGTACAACTTCATAAGTTCTTTTCGATATCACAACCTTCCACACCTTTAACGATCATTCAAATATTCAATATACAGAAAACAAACATGTACCTGAACACAAACCCCATGTGTAATACCCACCAGTGACACAAGATATATTTTTCTGTAGTCATAGGTGTAAATTGTCAAACAACAAGATCCCATATCAAACATTATAATGTCACAATTGCACTACATCAGATGAATGTATTATTTGATATTATGCAGCATCATGTCTATACTTTGCATGGTCACACAATTGTGCAATTTTCGGCCCACACTGAATATTTTGTCATGTGTATGTAGAGATAAGAACACAAAAAGCCATGGTAACAAAATAACAACTTTAGATGGTACTTATAATGAAACATATTCACTTTATAAATCACAAACAATATTCAACACAGTCACCAGATATCTTCACCATTTGTGATTACTCTAAACCTTTGTATCTTCACATAATATTATTTCAAAACACGTGAACGCATTTAAACAAGTTTAAATGTCTTGCACCCCAAAACACTGTCAGCTCCAATATATATAACGAAAATTTGCAGCATGAAAAAAAAACATTTTTAACCAGCAGCAACAAATAAGGTTCAGATCACCTTAGTTTTTGATTCAAGAGTGTTTTTTAAACTTGGACGGAACTTTTATTATAGGAATGACACTTAGAATATTTTTAAGGTCCACAATTCGTGTATAAGGCTGTAACCGGTTACATCTGGCTGAAACTGCCTATGGCCGGTTTTACGTGCTAACAGGTGGTAGTATCTGAATCAAATGGAAGGTTGCAAAGCAGTTGTGACCGGCTCCACCCAGTTCAATCCAGTTGGAACTGGTTGATTCCGCATTTAAAAGAAACACAGAAAATGAAACAGACCCTTTACATGGTTCAATCCGGTTGAAACAGGTTACAGTCGGTTTTACATTCTAACAGGTGGTAGTAGCTGAATCAGAGGAAAAGTTGCAAAGCAGTTGTGACCGGTTCTAACCAGCGCAATCTGGTAGGAGCCGGTTACGTCCGGTTTTTACACGGCGAGCAGCAGCGCCACGCCTGCCAGGACCCACTTTGCTGGCTTCTCCTTGGTTTTGAGGTTGAAGGTCCAGACGAAGGTGGGGCCGCGCTGGCGCGTCTTGTAGACGGGACACTCGTACACGTTCTTGGTGTCCTGGCGGTCCACCGGGATGGCCTTGATGAAGATGACGGGCATGTTCGGGGTGAGCTCCTTCAGTCGGGAGTCTGCGATCAGACCTGGGGAAGGGGAGCAAAAGGGTTGAAGTTATTATCTTTATTGCCTTATTCCAAATGTACATCAGCAGGGGGAGCACAAATGCTTTTCCCTTGAATTGCGTACAATTTGCCAAAAACACTAAGAAGCAATACATCCAATCCAATAAAGTATATACAAAGACACATACAAAATCATCAAAATATACACAATGTTGCATCAGGTCATGTTATACAAGGTACACTGTAGATTCAAGACCAGGAAGGTGAGTTCTGTACTGAACTATGTGTATATTGGGACTACAGATAATGCAGGAACTGTTAAAGGTAAGACTGAAGAAATTGTGGAACTAATGGCAGAATGCAAATATTTAAGTTGTCAGAGCTTCTTCAGATGGGAAAGGGTTGCTTTTTTCCTGTCTCGTAAGCCACAAACTACTGTAAGTTTGAGAGGAAATGGATGCAATAGTTTCATTTCATAAACTATATAGCAACAGTTTTTTTCTGAAGCATACGGCAAGATCGTTCATTGTGAGCTTTAGGCTGCAAATGGCATTTCATTGTTCTACCACCCTGATGAAGTTATTTTAGGACCTACCAGTCTGAGTGTCCCAGCGCGCTCCCTCCATGAACAGCCCATGGATGTACGAGCCCTCGCGGGGAGGCGAGCTGAAGTCCTCCCGGTTCTTCTTCGTGACGTCACACTGCAGACACATCTTGTCCAGCGGCCACTCGTTCTTACGGGCCATGCTCTGGGAGTGGATAAGATATTACAAAGATTAACGTAACATCACATTAACACAGATTAATGTAAACTCGTAACGTCACACTGCAGACACATCTTGTCCAACGGCCACTCGTTCTTACAGGCCATGCTCTGGGGGGGGACAGAAGAACAACCACAGATTTAGCATGTGTGGAAATGTGGATGTGAATTTTTAAAACAAAAAGATCCCCATATCTGGTATTGTGTCACAATTGCACTACAATTATTGCACTACAATTATTGCACTATAATTCACAATGATGAATGTATTATTAATGATATTATGCCCATACTTTCGACATACCTTTGTAATAATAAACAATTCAACACAGTCACAAGATATCTTTTTATAGGCTCTATGGTACTAATAGGTTATTTATGGTATTCAATCATGTATTCTGTTTTATTCATGCATTTCATTACATTTTGTATTCTATTTCTAAATATGCATGACTTTGTGCAAATAAAATAAACCATAAAAAAACAAAAACGAAACCAACAATAAATCAGCTTGGCCTATATTGGCTAAGACTCTTATGACGTTCTTGTTTTTACTTCAGTTCCCATTGTGAGTCATTTTGTACAGCTTTGTTTGACAGTGTGTTTCTCCTTTATGTTTGTATTGTAATGTTAATTTTATTTGCCATACAACGATTGTATAAATCAGTCTTATTCAGCTTGTTTGTTCAGGCTGCGAAGCTGATTTTCTGAATAAAACTGTTAAACAAAAACATGTAGAATTTAAGCGCTGAGTGTTACCTGCATGATGGCAGTGAGGAAAGACTGCGGGTTGAAGAAGCCTCCCAGCCAGACCGCCGCGGGGAGGTTGAAGTCAGACGTCCACTGCTCGAGCTCCTTGATTCGCTGGAGCAGGTCGGCGTACCAGGCGGCCAGGCCGTTGAGCGACGGGTAGGCGCGCTTGGTCCACGAGTCCGGCACGTTGTCGAGGAACAGCGCGTTGGAGAGGTCCTCCATGTCAGAGGTGATGGTCAGTTCTCCCTGTGGGGGGGGGGGGGTAATATAGAGAAGTTTATTGCAAAGTCATGCCCGAAGGCTAATTGCAAGTTACAAACATAAAAGTCTCGGACGTCCCAATTACTAAGTGCCTAATACCAGCCCAAAAGAGAACAAGAAATAGCCATGCCTTCAAGTACACAGAGTTATCAACCAAGGATTGAGGTGTTCAAAAACTTGTTCTTTCCTAGAACTATTGCAGAGTGGAACTCACTGTCACCAAGTACAGTAGGGGCATTATCATTAGATAGCTTTAAACAATGTTTTGAGTTCGATGTTCAAGGGTGTAACAAGTCGTTCGGTGTAATGAAGCCAGATGCTGAGTGCCTGCAAAGCTGGTGTGTTATGCCGAAAGGCGGTTATACCCGCTATACAGATACAGATATTGTACAAACCTTGAGTCCGAGATCCAGTTCCTTGAGTGAGCGTCGGATCTCCTTAGTGAGCATGTTCATGCGTTCGCACTCCTGGAACGCGACGACCACGTACGGCGTGCGCTCCTCCGCCTTCGCCATGATCTCCGCCATGTTGAACTCCTCCGGAAGCTTCTCCACGATCTCGTCAAGCACGCCTTTCACCTGTCAATCAATTAATCAATCAATAAATCAGTTAGTCAATCAATTGGTTTGTTAGTTTGGTCGGGATTTCCACCATATGCAGTAGAATAACTGATCCTACCACTGTCATGTCTTTTCCCATTTCTGCACCCTGTAAAAGACAAGATGACAGTACTACCAATTATATTAAGCAATATTTGTACAACATGCCAAAAACAGTTGCTTAAGCAACTGGATATAATTTTGGAAACCGTATCTTATTACCTGGATGACTTTCACCAACGTAATTTTTGCGATATTTTAAAACACTTTATTCACAAAGAATAGTAAATGTTCAGTTCCGGGCTGACCTTCTCCTCCCTGGTAGCTCCTGCCCCTCCCCCTGCCCCGGCATCGCGAGGCTGCATCTCCAGGACAGTCTGGAACAGCTTCTCCGACGTGGTGGTCAGGAACCCGATCTCCGCGTTCGGGTGCAGGCCGTACAGATACGGACTCTCGGGAGGCAAAACGTCGTCGATGTACTGGTGGTAGGCGTTGTAGTCAGAGTTTGGAGGCACGGGGAAACCCGGGGCCAGCGATAGCTCTCCGTCAAGCTGTGAGATGGAAGAAAGGAAGGAATGAATGAACGAGTGAATGAATGGCTGTAGACCGTTCAGGTACGGGCTCTCTGGAGGCAAAACGTCGTCGATGTATTGGTGGTAGGCATTGTAGTCAGAGTTGGGAGGCACGGGGAAAACCGGGAGCCAGCGACAACTCACCATCAAGCTGTGGGATAGAAGGAAGGAAAGAATGGATGAGTGAAGGGGTGCAGACCGTACAGGTACGGGCTCTCGGGCGGCAGCACGTCGTCGATGTACTGGTGGTAGGCGTTGTAGTCCGAGTTGGGAGGGACGGGGAAACCCGGGGCCAGCGACAACTCTCCATCAAGCTGTGGGAAGGAGGGAAGGAAGGAAGGAATGAGTGAATGGGTGGAGACCGTACAGGTACGGGCTCACAGGCGGCAAAACGTCGTCAATGTACTGGTGGTAGGCGTTGTAGTCGGAGTTGGGAGGCACGGGGAAACCCGGGGCCAGCGATAACTCTCCATCAAGCTAAAAGATAAGAAAGCAGCGGTTTGGATATCTAAGTACTAATAAGATCTAGATGCCAAATTTGAAAGTAAACAGTTGCTCATTTCTTCTTGCAAGGCCAGGCATTCAGGAAGTCAGCTACAATCTACTATCCACTTTTATTGGTGACTGAACTCAAAGGCTATTGGACAGATTTTGAATGAATGAATGAATGAATGAATGAATGAATGAATGAATGAATGAATGAATGAATGAATGAATGAAATCAATGAATGAATGAATGAATGAATGAATGAATGAATGAATGAATGAATGAATGAATGAATGAATGAATGAATGAATGAATGAATGAATGAATGAATGAATGAATGAATGAATGAATGGATGATTGAATGGATGAATGGATGGCTGAATGAACTTTTATTGCTTGAAAATCATACACTGTAAGATGTGTGGCAGTAAATCTACAAGGCCACAAGGCTAATATTTTAATGTTTTAATCTTAATGATGTAAGAAATAAAAAGAAATCTTAAAAAGGAAGTTGCTGACCATATCAGGGTGTAGATATTCCTCCAGGTAAGTCCTGCAGAGTTTGCGGTCCCAGTCGTCAGTGATGTGTCCTCCGTACATGATCTCACCAAACAGGTAACGCAGGTCCTCCCAGGGAACCTATGGGGACAGAAATCAGTCTTTAATTTAACTTGCTTTTTATTTCATTGGTTTGATTGGGATTAATATGTATGACAGTCAAGCATCTACATGTACCATTAGCCCTCAGGTACTGTTGTAGTTGTAGAGCAAATCATGACACATTCATAATCATATGCATTGGTTATGGTGACCAGCCCCTCCAGCTCTGTCCTGCTACATAATGTAACCCTACACCACAGGGTGTCTGCTACAGCACCAGTAATACCATGGTGACAGACGTCTGGTCCAGGTCATTGACCTTTATATAATATGTGTTTGGAAAAGAAGAGAAAAACATACAAAAAAAGTAGAAAGGTAACAAGCAAAATATATGCATCATGTTTACCTTCATATGGAGAAGAAGAAGAGGAAGAAGGAGCAGAAACTGAGCAAAAACAAATTGAATGTTTTCCTTCGGTAAACATAAAAAACAGTAATGCTTCCAGCCCCACCTTAGCGTTGGCCTCCAGGTAGTTGTATAGCACCATGGCTGAGATGGTGAGGTCTCCAGTGTATTACAGCCAAGCATCATGTACTATTAGCCCCCAGGTACTGTTGCAGTAATACTAGACACTAGAGCCCCTAAAAACAGTAACGTTTCTAGCCAAACCTTAGCGTTGGCCTCCAGGTAGTTGTAGAGCACCATGGCTGAGATGGTGAGGTCTCCAGTGTTGAAGGGGTACGGACGGTTCCAGCCCTGAGGCCCGAACTTCAGCCGCTCACCCACCACCGCGTGGAAGTAGCAGATGGCGAACAGGATGCACTTGAACTCGCTCTCACGGGCGCACATCTCCAAAGTTTCCTAAAAAGGACAGTCAAGCATGTTTTGATTGGTCAATTGATTCTGAGTTGTCAATTCTCATTGGTCAACTCATCTGGCAAAAATACATTTAAGTGTAAATCGTCTTTTGACTCTGATTGGTTTATCCCTCTGAGTTTTAAATTGAGAACTTTCTCAGTTCTCAATTTGGCTTGGTCAATCGTTTTAGTTAATTCTCAATTGGTCAGCCAAAACTGTGACTGGAAGTTACCTTTTAACTAAAGGTCACTTTGTAGAAGTTAGACTAAGTACTATCAACTCAGCTGAATTTATGTGCAAAAAGCATTCGTGCAGTGAATTTTTATGTACATGTATGACTGACTGTCAGACTGCATGACAGCTATCATTTCAGTAATTAAATCTAATTTCCCTTAACGAACCTGGTTGAAGTTGTTGAATGCCTTGTGCAGGTTGGCCTGGATGCCAGTGGGCGGCTCGTTGGTGATTTTGATGGAGGATTCCAGGATGCCCTGTGGGATGATGTGGGAGTCGGCGGATGCGGCTGGCTCGGCCGAGATGAAGACGCGATACGCCTCGTTGCTGCCCACACTGTACTTTTCCAGCTTCTTCTCCAGGGTGCCCAGCCACTTCGCCACAAGATGGACGTTCTACGGTTTGAAAAAGAATGGAAAAAGGTCAATTTTACACCAAATATCTGACAAAATCCTAGCGTCGTGCCTTCTGAAGCTTGTGGGAGTTTGAATACTAGGTTTTGTATGCTATCCAGTCAGTTGATGTGTACAATGGCAGGCACCAAGTATAGTTGGGGCATCATAACCAGCTCAGCTTTAAATTTATCAAAAGCAACACTTGCAGTTAGGTGTGCAGTTGACTGTAACAGGTCTTTCGACACAATAATAGCCAGTTGCCACTATACCGCATGCCTGCAAAGCTGATGTGTTACACTAAAGGGTGGATATACATGTACCTGAGCTATACAGATACAGAAGCTTGTGTGTTACACCGAAAGACGGTTATACCAATACAGAAGCTGGTGTGTTACACCGAAAGACGGTTATACCAATACAGAAGCTGGGGTGTTACTTCGAAGGGTGGTTTTACCAGCAGCATATACAGAATGATACGGAAGATGAAGGGGAAGAATTAAACAAACAAACAAGCAAACAAACAAACAAACGAACCTGCAGGATGACCCAGTGCCCCTCCACGGCAGCCAGGTCCAGCGCCTGTTCCGCCACGATCTCCTGACCTTGGCCCAAGGACACGTTGTGGAAGTTCCGGTTGTCGAAGGTGAAGCCGATCTTCTTCCCGTGCGCCTCGACGTCCTTGAGAGGGTCTACGCCCGGTGACAGGATGAAGAACATGGGGGTCTCCGGGCCGCTCTCCTCGTAGGACTTGGCGAACTCGATGCTGCGTCCCTCTACGTACTGCGTGCCAAGCTTCTCTTCCACATAGTTCCTGAGGTAAACAGCACCAAGTTAACTTTTTTCTTATTAGTTTTGTTTATTGCAACAACTGACAGACCACAGGCTGAATTGTGTGTTCTTACAGTACATACATAGTTACATACGGAAATATAAGGCAAACAGATGCTGTAGCCCTCCACGTACTGGGTTCCCAGCTTCTCTTCTACATAGTTCCTGCTAGTGGTGCATACCGGTTCACTGGACTTGGATCCGGACTTGTAAAAATGTTTAGGTTCAAGTCCAAAAAAACCTAAAAGTCAAGAACCGAGTCCGGACTTATTACCATAAAAGACCATTTCACATACCCCTTTTCTTTTTAAACCACCTAAAACCTTCCGTAGATTCCAAAATCTTTGCTACAAAATGAAGAAAACATTGCCATTGGGCATCGTCAAGTACCAGCCTCCATGTTATGTGGCCAAAGTTTCACCCAGACAACATTGCAAGGTTGCTAACATGCAATTTTGTATATGCCATGGGTTTAGGTCCGGACTTAAGTCCGGACCTGAACCTAAACCTCTGGACTTGAATCCGGACCTGAACCTGAAATTGGGTTTAGGTATGCATCACTAGTTCCTGCAAGGGTAAAATCAAAGCCAAGTTAATTTGACAGAAGCCTATACAGGATGAAGAACATGGGGGTCTCCGGGCCGCTCTCCTCGTAAGACTTGGCGAACTCGATGCTACGTCCTTCAACGTACTGTGTGCCAAGCTTTTCTTCCACATAGTTTCTGGAGGGAAAATATCGAAGACAGGTTAATTTGACAGAAAGTATCAGATTTTGTATCTGTATTAGCTGATATACTGCTCTCCTCGTAGGACTTGGCAAACTCGATGCTGCGTCCTTCAACATACTGCGTGCCAAGCTTTTCTTCTACGTAGTTCCTGAATTAAACAGGAAATATTAGAACGAAGCCAAGTTAATTTGACGGAAATAACCATTAGAAAACAAAATAACTGTTACAGAGCAGTGTTCTGACCAGCTTGATTTTAGCCGGTAATTTCACTTCCATTTGTTTATTTGCTAAATGTATGACAATCCTAGGGGGTCCGGAGACATGCTTTCCCCGTAAAATTGTCAAATCCTGCCCCTCTATATTACAAAACATGATTTCGGGCATTTTAAAGGGAAAATTTTGCAGGGAGATGCCAATTTCAAAAATGATGGATTGCACATTTTTTGTCCATCGTGGGCAGGGAAATTTTGTCAAATGACAGAATACAGGAAACAAGAAACCCTCACAGACTAATAAAAAAAACAAATTTTGTGAAATGAGTTTTTGCAGCGATGTTTTGTTCCACTCCTCAGGGAACTTTTCCCTTTCTGGACACTCACTCTCCATTTCAAGTAAACAGTCAAACAAACAAACGACCCACCTGACAGCATACATCATCCTGTCAGGGCGCAGGGCTCGCATCATGCAGAGTTTCTGCAGCGATGTTTTGTTCTTCCACTCCTTTGGGAACTTCTTCTCCGGACACTCACTCTCAGTTTCAAACAAATAAACAAACAAACAAATAAACAAATAACTCACCTGACGGCATACATCATCCTGTCAGGGCGCAGGGCGCGCATCATGCAGAGTTTCTGCAGCGATGTTTTGTTCTTCCACTCTTGTGGGAACTTCTCCTTCTCCGGACACTCACTCTCCACAAACTTCTTCCAACGCTTGGCGGAACCCTCAATGTCACGGTCAAAGTTACGGAACTCGTCCATCTGGGACAGGGCCTGGAGTGGGGGGTTGGGGGTGAAGACTGCATCGAGTTATTTGTTTCGGTTATGGAGACTTTTGAATTACTGCAAAATGTGTGTTTGTGTCACTGTTTGTGTGTGTGGTGGGGGGGGGTGTTGTGTGTGTGTTGGGGTGTTGTGTGTGTGTAT